GATATGTTGCACCGCGTCGAACGTTAGGTCACCTTCGACGGGCACGAGGTCTGCAACGACAGCGCCTTTTGTTTTCACACCCCTACTGACAACATCCATCTAAAACGCTCTCCAAAAGTCAATGCCAAGATACACTTCTTGTTGCAGGTCTGGGACGATCAAAAACTCCAGATCCCTTGACACACCATCCCACATCACTGGTAGAACAACTGCCCCTATCACTGGCGTTTCATCACCATTAGCTGTTCTAATGTTTTGCCCTTTGACGTATAGAATACGGTCTTCTTTACCTTCCAGAAATTTTAAGGCATTTTTTCCTAAGCAGCTGGCACCAGCGCCAGAATCTAGTAGAGCTAGTACTTCTTGGCCATCTATCTTGGTTCGCGCAAAGAAACGGTTATCTCCTTTGACTGTTACTATAGTAGCTATAATCTTATTATGTATTCTCCTAAAATTCTTCTGTTTTGTTCGCATTTTTTTGATTTTTTTAAAATTCCTGCTTTTACTATTTCTGGTTATTTCCTCCCCAAAAATTCGTTTACGCGCCTCTTCATAATTCAACTTTCTCTGATGTAAGCTTTTTCTAACTACGACTTCAAATTCATTTTCCTTATTCTTAACTAATCTATCACTACTATTACTATTTTCTAAAATTTTAGTTATGGCCATTACTTTTCCGGGCTGTTCTGTTCCTGGCGAAGATTCCCGGAGATCTCTGCCAGGTTGTGGTTTCCCTGCATCGGCTTATAAACACAAAATGACATATCCCCGCCACATGCAAAGCAAACCATGCTGTGGAATGTCGACTTACAGCTGTTCTCTTTTCTTGCTTCCGCCGGATTTTTGGTATAGTAATCCACAGGCATCCCGAATTTGAAGCAAATCATCAGATGGAACGGCGATGAACAAAAGGCGTGACCTGGAGTGGCCTGAACACTGGTGGAACCATTGTTGGGTGGTCGACTGGATGATTGCTGGTTTGCCCTCGCGTTATTCGGACCAGCTTGAACAAAGTCCTTAGCACCCTTGCTCTTACCAGTCCCGATGGCTTCTATTTTAGTGTGTTCCGCTGGTTGCTCATCGTACATGCATCGAATTTCGTTCACCGTTCTTGATCTAGCACGATTTTCCCTAACCATCCTCTCAGCCCTTCTACATTCTGCTTTCAAGTCTGCTAATGTCTCCATTCTCGAAGCAAAGGTCAAATTTGCCAGGTGCGGTTTCAGGTTCGCCTTGAGGATTCCCACCAATTCCCGTTCCGGAATCTTTTGGCGCAAGCGGAACGTCAAGTTGTGGACATCACTGTAGAAGTCATCGAAGCTTTCTTGCGGCATCTGTTTTCGCTCCATGATCTCCCGTATTATCTCGTAATCCGACTCTGATGCTTTGAAATGGCTCAGCAACTCCGCCTTTAGCTCAAAATATCCGAAGTTCGGATCATCAGCATGATCCTCCAGGATTTGCCAATACCATTTCAGAGCATTACCAGTTACTAGGCACTGGAAGTTGGAAAACAGCTGATAATACGAGACATCATGTTGCGCTCGCATACGCTCGATTCGGAATATGAAACTTTCCACAGTGATGTCTGTACCCGAACCGTCGAACTTGACGTGCCACTTGTCCAAGTCTACTTTTTTCCATCTACTGGCTTCCTCATGTGGCCCGTGATTACCTGCTCCTCTCTGCGGCTCCGTTTCTCTTCCCTGGCTTGCCCTATCTCTCGCATAACCACTGGCCTCGGGTGTTGAGGACATGGCGGGCGGATTATTCATCGCTTGCGCAGATGTCTCCACTTCTGCCACCCGATTGCTAAGATACGATAAGTCAGCCCGCATGTTCCGGACCGCGTCCATACATTGAGCCATCATATTGTTTTGCTGCGCCATTAGCGTCATCATTTGTTCCATGTTATGTAATGCTGAACTCGGTCCGCCAACACGCGCTTGTGACCCTGTGGCACCGTGTGGCAGTTGTGGATTGCTGCCTTGCGCCCTTTCTCCACACCTAGAAACTCCTTGCTCTTCTTCCGACATTTGTAGTGCTTGTTCTAACTTTTCTGAAAAATTCAAACTCCTGTCTATTCTGCTAATATGAATATTATTCGTGACAGATGACTGGGCTGAGGGATGTTCTGTGCTGTACCAAAAATACCTATTCAGGAAGTCCGTCGGTACAAAGTCCACCGGACGCTCTATGCCAGTGTCGATCTGAGTAAATATCGACCCAACTATTTGATTTTCCAGTGCCCTGGTCACACTCCTGGTCACCCTTCTGTTATCGAGGATGCCTAATCCAGCTACTTGATTTTCCTCACTCGGTTTCCCTTTCTCCATTTACCTTGGAGCCTAACACTCACGGCGTCACCGTAATGAAAACTCGTAGTATTGGCCACTAAAATTTGTGTAAAATATATATAAACAACAAAAACGAATCTTCTATCATGCAACAGGAAGAGAACACCACTAACCACCAGAACTGATCAAAATTATTTATATGTGTTTATGTAGAATTTTAATCAAAAATAGGTTTATTCGTATAAAAATAAAAGTGAATAAATAAAAGAATTAAAATTTTAATGATAAAAAATAAAGGAAGTAAGTTTAAAAATATTTCACCAAGGAAACTAAATGTGGGTAATAATAAAAATAATAATGACTAAAAATCCATAAATACAACCTACTAAATTTTCGTTAAGGGACCTTGTAAAAAAAACGCTGAATTCAAATAAAAGAATAGAAAAAATGTGTTTTTTTTCTTTTTTTGTGTAAATTAATAAATTCAATTCATTTGTTGGTGTGTGTTTGGTGTTGCCCTCGGCAGAGGTCATCGTGGGTGCTTTTGATCCGTCTGTCCGCCGTCCATTGTCTATGTCAGCTAACCCCCTCAAATAGTGCAGCACAACGATATTTAAGCTATTTGCATCAAAATACGGCTACCCCACTATTTAACGTTGATTTTCGAATCCCACATACCCATTGAAAATTTCGGATAAACCTCACGAATGTACATAAGATGTTGAATCCTACGCCCGGTAGCTTAAACCCCAATTTTCGCTCAAAAAGAAAAAAAAATAGATAAAAAAAAAACTCACAATCCTTGCCTTTGGATACCACTGTTCAGCCTACCAAAGTGTGCTACAGGTACTCCAAAGCGAAGTTTTGCTGCCCCCCTACATACATATATGTTTTATCTGGTACAGCTAACCAAGTAAAATGCCTTAGTCGCGTTACTATGATAAAAATCCTAACCAGTCCGATAGAAAAGAAAATAATGAAAAAGAGAAAAAATATAAGAGACAACTTACTAAACAAAAACTAATGTTCATTGACACGTTGGGCGCCATTGTTGTGTAGCTGGCTGTTAAGGCAGAGGTAAGTGGCAGGATGGCATGCTGGTTGGCCCAGGCTAGCTCGACGGCCAATGGGGGGGTTGTTTGCCACAGCCTTTGCCTACAGCTACCACAAACAAATATTTGTTTATCATGCCAATGTAGAAGAAAAGATGGAAAAAAGTAGAAGGCCTGTCCGGGTCAGGTGGAGCCATCCCACCCCTTCTAAGCACAGATGTGCTCAGCCTTGAACTTCACTGTGGCTCCAGTCGTCAACGCGCGAAGTTCCCTTTGCCTGACCTAGTCCGTCAGTCGTCAGTCAGTCACCCTAGTCAATCAGTCATTTCGTCTTTGTACACCCACTTCCCCTCTACGTCGCACGATGGCAACACCCACACCAACCTGAAAAACTTTAGAAATCCATGAAAAATAATAATACTCTACTCAACGGAATTTCATTATTATATGGATACATTTATTATAACAAGCAACAAAAAAAACAATCCTAATACATAATATATTTCTTATACTAATTGTCTTCTACCAACAAACGATTTCTTATCATTATTATTATTATTATTTTTAACTAATTATCCTATGTGCTTTAAGTCTAATGGCTACTGCTTTACAACTGCCTTATTTGCGAACCTATATTCTTCTTTTGTATTCTTGCCTTTTCTTCTTTTTTTTTCAAGCTTTCCTATATTTTTTTGTATCTAAATGTGCATTTACATATATGTTTAGCAAATGTATTTTTGTATATACATTCACCGTCTTACTTATGTAATATATGTGCACATACGCACAAACGCACGTTCCAAACGAATACTCTTTTTTTTTTGTCAACGGCCCTTCCTAATGTCGATATATATGTACATGTATGTTTATGGGAATAATAGCAAAATAGTGATTTCTCACTTACCAGTGTGTGTATGTATGTATATATGTCCAACGATGCTAGCGCCAGCATGCAGACCACCTGGAAAGTGTGAGGAGAAAAAAACAAACATACATGTGTACATGCACTGTAAAGGAGAGCAAAACAAAGGAACTGGTGGTGTGGTGGGCCACTTTGGTGGATACCTGTGCGTACTTATTTACTCTCCCTTTCAGTTTAGCCTTTTTAACCGTCGCGGAATCAACTTAAAATCGCTTGTACGTGTAACCGCGACGCGGGTGGATAAAAACATTAACACCCCTATTGCGAGTGTCGATTAGCAGTAGAATAGACATTTTTCTATTGAGTCGATCATATTTTATTTTGGTATTGCGGAACTGAATCGATAAACAATTGTACAATTGTGAATGGCTTACTGAATTGCAATCAGCTGTTTCGGTGTTTGTTTACATTTTTGATATATTTGGCAAATAAAATAAAATACAATTGTCCAAAACTTTTCAATTTAACAATTTAGGGAAGGAAAATACCACTAATGGATAGTGTCGACGTGTGCTTCAGTGATAGTGATGACGAGGAAAGTGAAAGATTAGTAGAGTTAGCAAGAACGCGGAGGATGTTGAGGGATTCGTCTAATCCTCTGGAATTGGAGGAAAATATGTATGTATACGGTTTCAACGGTGCGTAGTTGATACAAACGTAATCAATCTATATTTTTTTAAGATTTTTGAAAAATTTTCGTCTTCCTAAGGCTGCATTTACGCATTTGCTCACACTATTAGATAGCAAACTGCAAGCTGGCGTTAGAAAAACATCAGTTCCAAATATTTTAAAGTTGGCAGCGACTTTGAGGTTCTGTGCTCAGGGGTCGTATCAGCTAAGTGTCGGGAACGAAAGTTGTATTGGGCTTGGCCAATCTACGGTGTCCATAATTTTGGCGGAAGTATTCAATGCTTTGGAGGAATGCGTCTGCAGAGATTGGATAAAAATGCAAAACAGTGAAGAGGAAAAACGAGAAACAAAGTGTTATTTCTTTGGGAGGAGCGGAATACCCGGAGTAATAGGCTGCATAGACGGTACGCACATCAAAATTGTTTCCCCAAAAAAGGAGCATCAGCATTTGTATTACAATCGGAAGGGATTTTTCAGCTTGAATGCAATGATAGTGAGTATTTATAAAGGAAATGCAACAATGGAGTTTGTTCCAGCCAAAGAAAAAGTCGATGCGGTGATGATTTTACAATATAAGTGAACGTTTATTTAGTTGCTTAAGCTTCGACTCACTAAAAACCCATGCCCTCAATACTTAACTAAAACCGGTTTTTATCCCTTCTTTTTGTCTATTGCTTTACATTATTCTTATAACTAGCTATGTAAGTTTGTGCGTATATGCCTATGAGGGCATGTATAAGAAAATATGCATGCTTATGGGTAAGAAAATATGTATGTCGGCGTATGTATGTAAATATCTCTGTTCAATAACAAAGGCAAACCTAACTGCGGAACCGTATGACTAAATGTGTACATATGTGCTTTTAAATCATAGAAAAAACGGTGACATAGATCTAGGTATGTAACTCTGCGAATATGCTGCACTCAATATACATAAGGATCTATGTAAATTTATATGTGTATATGCACCTCGGTGCTCAAATAAAGGCGAATGGCCTAATTCACGGTCACGGTCATCTGATTTGCACAGTGTCATGCATCTGACCAAACAGAGTTTATAATCTTTCTTCATTTATAGGTTTGCGACAACGCCATGCGAATCCGCTATATCAACGCGAAGTACCCTGGAGCTACGCATGATGCTAATGTTTTTAATATGTCTGCGTTGAAGCAACAATTAGAAGAAGAGTATCGTAGTGGCGAGCGAAATGTGTTATTAGGTATGCTATGGCTAATTTATGTAGACATTCGAATGGTTGTGTCATAGCTATTTCCAATTTTAGGTGATGGAGGGTATGCCTTACAACCCTATATGCTTACGCCATACCGAAACCCAGAAGCCGGATCAGCAGAATGTATGTTCAACGGTAAACATTCTCAAGGACGGAATATTGTGGAACGCACTATTGGGGTGTTCAAAAATCGTTTTAGGTGCTTGTAAGTCGCTGTTTTTTTGCATCAACTCCACTAATCGCGCTAGTTGCTTTTTGTTACTAACTACTTTTGATCTGTAATTTTAATATAATTATTTTATTACTTTTATTTATGTATATTTTTATTTATTTTCTTTAAATTTGCTTACTTTTTATCCATTTTCGCTCTTTTTTCATCAACTTTACTCTCCAACGACTAGAAAATGGCCGTAGAAAGATGATCGATTAAAAAGCATTCACAGTCGCTTGCTGAGCGATCATTCGACACTCGCAATAGTTCGATAATCGATAATCGCTCAGTAGTCGATTATCTATTCTTGTTCGACACTCGCAATAGGGGTGTAAGTGTTTATACAAGAACATACAAAAGAAGTCGAAAATTATAATGTACATATAAAATTACATATGCAAAATTCAAAGTGATCCTCAACTAAAAAAGTGCGTAAATGAACAAAAAAAAAAAATATAATAAAATTTACTAAGACACAAAAAAAATTACTGTAATTGTTTAACATAAGAGCATTGATGTTCAAAGTGAATGTAGTGTGTAAATTAAAGTATAATAACGTAGTAGTTGAACAAAGAATCAAAAATAAATGCTGAATAAAGCAATGTGGTGTGATAAAATTAATCTTAAAAACAACCTACCGCAAAAGCAGTGAACCAAGAGATGTGGTGAAATCAAAAAAAAAAACACTAACTTAAAATTCACAATAAACGCCGTGTACTTAATATAAAAAAAAACGCAATTTAGCAAAAAATAAAAAATAAAAGAGTGATACCTTAATATATACCTAACCCCAGGTGTGGAAGTGACTGGACGCTCAATGCGCTGGTGATGCTGGATTTATTAGCGTTCGGGGATGTAGCGCCGATACTGGTGATGGATTGGTGAGTTGGCTTAGTGCGGTAATGTGTTGTGATGAAGTGTATTGGTATGATGTGGTGACTGGATATGCTCCGACGTGTAATCTTGCACCCCTTTGATTGGGATTCGGGCACTTTGGCTGGATGATTTGGCTGTTGTTACCGGTGTATTTGTGTGTGTGTGTGTGCTAAACTTCCAAGTAGTAATTTTGGACGCTGGTGTTGCAGTGTGGACGTGTGTGTTTGGCCTCGTAGTGGGAATTATGGCCGTCCGCTCGAGTGTGGCTGGGTGTAGTCCTTCTCGTAGAGGCTTTGTCACCGGTCACTGACGCGGGCGTATATTTCGCCGACGGGGCACTTAGCGTTACTTTATATATTGTTAGCGCGACCCGGGTTTGGCAAAAATTTAGCACTTTCACATAGAAATGTCTGTTTTTCTTTTGTAACTTAAAATTTTAAACTGTGATTAATTCGTTTTTTTTTTTTACGAGTAAAGGTCTCCGCGTTAGAGCAACTCCGGCTTTCAATATTGACTTGTTCAAAAGAATCTCGCTTCAGGCTTCTGCTGGCTATTTAAACATTTTTCTCAGCCTCTGTTTTGTTACGGTGATTCTTCAGTTATCCTTTTGTTTACGCTCACACACATCCACACGCGCACAGTTCAGCCAATAGCAAGATCGCTCCAGCCAAATCACGACATCCAACATGTTGTATTGCACCCGCTATTTTGACTTTGGACTTAACATACGGTTATGAGTGGAAAGTTTTATTTTGTTTACATCGAAGTTCCTTTGTTGTCAATAGAATTTCACCGTAGCTCTTAAAGGGTGATTCGAAAAGAGTGCCTTTTTCTTGTTTTGCTTAGAATATATATATATATATAAACACATGTTCATACATATACATATATAAATGCTTTTACCGGTATATATGTAAATATATATGCATTCATATTCGATCGGCTGTCGTTACAAACCTTACAAACTCAAACGATCAATACCCACCGTGGTGTTAGAATGTCTCATATCCAAGAACCAATTAATCAACCATCTCATTTATATCCGAATTATTCGCTATCCGGTCCACCACAATCACGACCAAATGAAGCCACTATATTCGACGAATCTGCCTAAGCGGATGCAATGGATAGGAAATTCAACGGCTTACCATCATGGATGGGACGTGCTCAATTCGATGGCGTTCATGTGAACGAAAAATTTCTATCGGTTGAAGATTATTTGGCTATTATTGGCTCATTTCGATATAAGATTGGAGTACCCGACCATGAATTGGTAACGCGGTTGGTACCCACACTCACGGGGGCCGCTTGACAATGGTACTTCACCGAACTGAGAAACTTCGGAGATTATCAAGATTTTTGCACGATACTTCGTGCTCGTTTCCTCAACAAACATACTCGGGCCCAAGTAATAATGTCATATGCACAGATTAAATTCGATCCACGTTCGCAAACACTGCTCAAACATATCGATGACTTGACATTCCAATTGCAGGGTAATTCCTGTGGTCTGGATGAACGGGACCACCTCGATATTATCAATGGTACCTTATCCGATCATCTGCGTGAACTCGTCCACACTCGACAAGTCCACACGTTGGAGCAATTGCGTGAGTTCGCTCAGCGAATTGCACCACATTCGTTATTTGTTGCCACACCCCGTCCGGAAAGAACCCGTTCGGATAGCCAGCGATCAGCGCCACGGGAAATTTCCCTCCGATGGCAGGGAATGTGCATACGTGAACAAGCAAAAGAAACCAATTAAAGCATCTCAGAAACGTAGGTATTCGAAACCAGTTGAGGATTATAAAAAAGACAAAAATCCAAAGGGGAATGATACGAAAGTAGGAACTATCGTCGACCCATTTCTCGCTGTTGAGGGCGACGAAAATGTGCGATGTGCAAAATGTCTCGTGTCTTCGTGTCACTTCAAAAAGTGTCGAACCCAACCGAATAGGGTGATCTGCTACAAATGTACACGACCGGGGGTTACGTCTGATCAATGCCCGTGTTCAAAAAAAACGCGTAAGGGAGTCGATTGGGAATAGTGGTCCATCGTACTCAGAATCCACAACCTTTTCTAAATCCACTATCTCTAACAATCCTCATTCGACCGAAGTCCCTCTACAAATCGACAAATCTTCAGTACCGAATTCCAGTAATAATTCTACTCTGATTCTTAACGAGTACAATCAAACTCAAAGGGATGGCAAAGAACCATCAACCCAATGTTCTGAACGAACACCACCAATTACCAAACCTACTTCAGCTCCAGTCCCTAATCACAATCAAGACGGAGACAGCAAAGTTAAACCACCACGACTCCGCGATGTTTTCTTTATCTCAGTGCTTGGCATATAATATGCCGAACGATTGTCGCGATTATCTCACGGTTATGGTTAACAACCAGTCTCATGCGGTTTTACTCGATGGTGGAGCCGAAGTCACAGTCATTTCACAAACATTTTATGAGAAGTTCAAATACGGACCGTTGCAACCTACCAAAACAGCCATTGGTCTCGCCGATAACTCGATTTCTTTTAAGGCCATTGGTAAAGTGAATGTATTATATACGGTTGGTAGTCTTACCCGACTTGTGCAAACTCTTGTAGTGCCTATCTCACTGAAACACCCAATTATGGGCTGTATGTACATTCCTTGAGGCCTTCTTTTTCGAACTGGTGCAGAACCAAGAGAAAGTTCAGCGATTTTTAAAACATACAGCCAAAGGTGATACTGAAGAAGTTGCATCCGCTAAAGTCGAAATGGTTACGGCGGATGAATTTATTAATTTTTGTAACCAGCCACCATGGAGTGGGAA